CACCTAGTTTGTTCAATAAACGTGCTTGTTTCCAGAGGCCGAGCGTAAAAGAAAACGAATAAACCGCACACATATTCGGATACAGGGAGTCGAACCCCAACATTCGCAGATAATCTGCTGACCTGGCCCAAAGAGAGCGAGGGTGCACCGTGCACGATACCCGAGCTCCACATCAAGCAGTTCATATAATAAGCCAGCTTGTTCTCACCGACTGGGCGTAAAAAGGAAAGAGGAAGCAGCAATATTCGGATACGGGGAGTCGACCCCAACACTCGCTGAATTCCATGTAATTTCTAAGATTACGCTGAGCGAGGGTGCACCTTGCACAATATCCGAGTTCCCAACTCACCTAGTTCGTTCAATGACCTAACTTGCTTTCAATGACCAGGCGTAAAAGAAAACAAAGATACCACCCATATATTCGGATACAGGGAGTCGAACCCTGACACTCGCCGAACATTGGTTTCAACCTTCTTGCAGAAGGAGAGCGAGGGTGCACCGTGCACGATATCCGAGTTCCCATTTCACCTAGTTTGGTCAATAAGCTAGCTTGTTCAAGGCTGGGCGCAAAGGAAAAAAAATGGACCGTGACGCCTACCTCCATTCGGATATGGGGAGTCGAACCCCAACACTTGCGATCACCGAACATTTGGCCGGTTTGAGGACAGCGAGGATGCACTGTGCACAATATCCGAGTTCCCAATTTACCTAGTTCATTCAACATGTAAAAGCTTGTTTAAAAGAAGATATAGAAGCCAGACATTCGGATACGGGGAGTCGAACCCCAACACTCGCTGAATATCCGATCCGGCCCCCTTAATTAAGAAGAGCGAGGGTGCACCGTGCACAATATCCGAGTTCTCAGCTCATGTAGTGTGTTCAATAGGTCAGCTCGATTCCAGATGCCGACCTTAAAAAAACAGCAGTCGAGGTTGCCTACATTCGGATACAGGGAGTCGAACCCAAACACTCACTCAAGTTGAACATTTGGCCAGGTTAAGGAGAGCAAGAGTGCACCGTGCACAATATCCGAGTTCCTGGTTCACCTAGTTCATTCAATGGGCAAGCTCACTTCCAGAGACTGAGCGTAAAAGAAAATGAAGATACCACGCACTTATTCGGATACGGGGAGTCGAACCCCAACGCTCGCTGAGCATCAGTTCTTTGAAACACAAGGAGAGCGAGGGTGCACCGTGCACGATATCCGAGTTCCCAATTCACCTAGTTCGTTCAATGAACTAACTTGCTTTCAGAGCCCGAGCATAAAAAGAAAGCATCTTGAAAGGCCATACCAATTCGGATACGGGGAGTCAAACCCCAACACTCGCTGAATATCGGTTCGAGGTCTTGGCACAAGGAGAGAGGGTGCACCGTGCACGATATCCGAGTCCTGGGTTGTCTAGTCCGTTCAACAGGCTATCGAGTTCTTTTCCCAGGAGGTTGAACTCACGGCGGTGCGCGGGTCTGTTGGCGGAGCCGAGGCGAGTAAGTATGGAGTGGTTGATTCAAGTTGGAGAGGTGACGAGGACAGTCCTGCGGGCGCGAGCAGGACAGGTTTCAAGCTGGAGACGCGGTGGTAAGTGTAAGGGCCACGCGTGTGAGTGCAAACTCAAATCAATATTCCGGGTTGATTCCGGGCGCGCGCGATGAATCGGACCGCGATTCGCGTGCGTGTGGGAAGAGGAACAAGGACCAAGGAGCTGCCGCGGCAGCCAGAGAACTCGAAGCAAGGAGGGATTTGGAAGGAAGCAGGTCCAGTCCCACACTTTGATTCGCGAAGAAACTTAGGAAGAATTCAACAACGCGGTCACGTTTGTTCCCGGAGGAAGGTGGAACTAATAATAGCTGCTTCATCGAATCGCGAGTAACTTTAAGGAGTAGAAGAGATTCAATTGTGCCCTTCTCGGTTGAATACGTTGGGTTGGTTAATTGGTTATTTAGTCAGTGGACCAAAATAGTTGTTGAATAAATGAGCTCTCAATCAATTCAATGGCGAGTTAGGGTGGATTTTGCGCGCTTGCGAAGACGCCGACGCGTTCGCTGTCCACCGGGGGTAAAAGTACGAGCGCGCCGCGAAGAACCATCGGAATCCGTTCAAGCAAGGAAGCGACGAGGTAAACGCCGCTTTGTTTCAGGGTTGAGTGCGATGATTCCCGCTGGTTACGGAGCGTTCGCGTCGGAGGTTGTTCGCCAAGGCGCGATGGGTGGAATGTGGGCATTGGGCGGCGTTGTCGGGTAACGCACGGTGATGGCAAGCGAGCGCGACGGGCTAGGGGTCAGCTAGTAGCGGTGTGGCGGATGGTTCGACGCGGAATGGCGCGATGCAGACTTGTTATTCGCGCCCGAGGTCGAGGATTGGAGAGAGAAAAAAATACTGGATGGGTATAATGAGGACGGCAACTGACCCCGCATCTATGCGGGGTTGAACATCCCTCTTGATGGGATTTTTTTTTTCAACATGCAATTCTACAACGATAATTTGTGCTAGAACACAGAGGAGAAGGGACAGGGCAACAGAACACAATGCGAGTAGGGGAAGCGAGAATGGAGAGACAGGATGGGACGTTGAGGGGGCGTTTTTGGCGTTTCATACATTTCTGTATGGGGATGTGTGGATCTTTTAATGCCAGCGCGAACCAAGCTGATGGACACCAGTCACCCGCTGACTGACCGCCCTCTCCCTCTTTTCTGAGCCCTCTCCTCCCACCACATCCACCGTCCACCCTCGCACAGGCCCCTCCACAAACTACAATGAGCGACATCGAAAAAGGCCACCACGGCGGCGTCGGCAACGCCCTCACCCACCCCGTCCCCGGCCGCCTCGGGAACCCCGCTTCCCTCGGTCTTTTCAGTGCGTCCCCGCGTCCCCTCCTCGTCGAGATCGTCGTCTGTCGTCTAACGAGCACACCCCCCACCCCCAAGGCTTCGCATCGACGACGTTCATGCTCTCGCTGTACAACGTCTCCGCGCGCGGCATCCACCACCCCAACGTCGTCGTCGGCATGGCCCTCTTCACCGGCGGCCTCGCGCAGCTCCTCGCGGGCATGTGGGAGTTCCCCAACGGCAACACTTTTGGCGCGACCGCCTTCACCTCCTACGGCGCCTTCTGGCTCTCCTACGCCGCCATCCTCCTCCCCAACACCGGCATCGTCGCCGCGTACACCGACGAGGCCGAACTCCACTCGGCGCTCGGCATATTCCTCTTTGCGTGGTTCATCGTTACTGTGCTGCTCTTGTGCGTGTTGTTCCGTCCGTCCGTCCTTGTCGTCGTCTGTTCCTGTCATCCATCCCCATTCTGCCCCTCTCGCTTCCCTCCTTCCCCACTACCCCTCTTCCCCACACATTCCCCACACATTCCCCCACACATTGGCAATGGGGAGGACGAGACCAGACCCTCCATCCAGACCGCCCCCGCAACCCCGCACCATCGCGCACCCATCCATCCATCATTTCTGCCACTAGCGTTTTTTCGCTTGGTTTGGCCAACGCCGCGTCACGCGCGCGTCCGAATTCAATTCATTCTCCTTCTTCGCTCGCACGCATGTCCGCGCAGACCGCACCCCGGGCCCGATCTTTGTCGGTCGGTTGGGTGTGTGTGCCTAGCGCGGCGCCGGGGTTCTTGCGTGGGTGGGCTCGGGGGTTCGGGGATGGGGATGGGGATGCGGCGGCGTCGGTGGGTGCTGCGAGACGAGTACCAGTACCCTGCCCCGCATTTCATTTGCAAGCAATTTGCAAATGCAAATTACCCCGCGCCCCTTACGAGATCCCTTGTTTCATTATCCCCGCGTTTTTCATTACCCTTGTCTTCATTCGCTCGGCGCTCCGTCGGTGCTGCGCTTGCTGCGTTGGTCTTGGGCGGGGCTTTTTTCGTTGCCTCGGAACGCCGCCGCGCGCGCCCAGGCACGAGCACCGAACGGAGGTCACACGGTACTTTGTGGCGGTACGCGGGGAATCGTCGGGCCGCCGGGTGCTTGGCGAAATTCTGCTCTTCTGCTCTTCTCTTTCGTGCTTCTCATTCATTCTTTTTGCTTCTCCTACTCCTACTTCTCCTGCTTCCCTTCCCGCTTCCCGCTTCCACTCCCGCGATGATGAAATGAAACGGACGCTAACTTTTTTTTTTTAGTATCGCCTCCCTCCGCAAATCCATCGGCTTCATGGCGCTCTTTGGCTTCCTCGCCATCACGTTTGCGCTCCTCGGCGCGGGCGAGTTTACGGGCAAGGTTCCGTGAGTGTCTCCTTTTCCTTTCTTTATTCCTTCGTTCCTTGCCCTCCTTCGTTCCTTCCTTTATTCCTTCATTCCTCTATTCCTTGCATCGCTCGAACCAGTTTACAACGAATCGCTCGCTGACCCTCGCTGACCCTCGCTCGCTTGCGCACTAGGGTGACCACCGCGGGCGGCGCATTCGGCATCATCACCGCGCTCATCGCGTACTACATCGGCCTCTCGGACCTCCTCGCCGCCGAGCGCGCGGCGGCGTTTGGGCTGCCGATTGGGAGTTTTAAGCATGATTGATTGATTCAGTTGATTGAGTAGCAGGGGTTAGTGGGGGGAGGGGGAGGAGTTTAGTGCGAGTATATGTACCCGGTACCCGATTATCAGTGTGACTAGTTTCTGCGATACTCTACTTTGTTGGCGACGTGCATATGCATACATACCTAGTTTTTGACGTACCAAATACTGCCTACTACCCTCTTCGTTTCTGAAAGAACGAAAGAACATTCGGAGCCCCTTGCCTCGGACCTTCGCTCAATTTGATGTAAGTGTTCTCTGAGTATGAGGAGGGTAACTCAGACGTGGTGCAAGGTAACACGGCTTCCGTCCTTGGGTGGATCCGCAACATGTATCCCTGGAAGCAGTTCGGGGTTCGAGTCCCCGCGTCTGAATTCCTCTCCCATACGATCGCGCTTTTTTTCAACTGCCGACCGGCGAGTGGAGGAATATCTTAGACTACTGTGAAACTTGAGCAAAGGTGCTGGGAGATTGAATGAGGGTGAGGACCTCAGATGTGGTGTAAATATGGCAACACGGCTTCGCATCGTAGCAGCGTTCTTGAGTGTGATGAAGCAGTTCGGGGTTCGAGTCCCCGCGTCTGAATGCAAGATGTGTAGCACTCAGCGCTCTTTTTCAACCGGCGAGTGGAGGAATATCTTCACTGTGTAGCACGAGTCGGAGGTGGTTGGGGATTGAACCAGGATGAGGAACTCAGATGTGGTGTAAAATTGAACACGGCTTCCATTCCTAGGACCTGCATAGCGTGGACTGAAATCAAGCAGTTCGGGGTTCGACTCCCCGTGTCCGATTAGCAAAGCCAAAAGCACTTTTTATCTTTTTTTTCCTTCATCGCTCTTTTCCGGTCACCCTAGATCTCTTGACTCAATGGTGCACATTTCGTTTAACTTGAACACGCCGGACCAAAAGGGTGATCCTTCAAGTTCCCTTTCTGCGTGCAAATGGACTGCCCTCCATCCTCACTGAATCAACAAAATTCAGTACACACTCTCTGTCATCAAGTACGAATGACGGTGTTCTACGTGCGGGCCTGGCTCTGAAACCATTCTCACGTCCGCTTTTTCTCTGAACATCATGATACAGCATCATGCTGTTCCTTGGCTTCGAACAATTGTCCTCTTTGGGGGTTGTTGGCTTGGCTATCCAGTTGGAGGCAGAAATCGGATATGGTGTACGGTACACCGTCGCTCTGAATACGTATCCGAAAATTTGGGCAGCGAGTGTTCGGGACGTTCAACTCCCTGTGTCCGAAAATGTCCGAAAATAAAGTTGTCCCGTTTTTTGCCGATCGGTGGCAGTGTCCGGCCTTTGCCGCCTTCCGCCTTTCTTCTCTCGCCGTCTTGCTCGCCGTGGATGAGGGGTGCGCAATCTTAGTGAGTGCTTCTTGCTCGCGTTTCTTGCTGTGTGTTGACGGCCACAGTTCTGTGCGGTCTGTGTTCACATTCAACCCGCGGAAGCTGACCTCTGCGTCGTTTTTGAATATCACGGCGAACAAGCACCTGCGGCTAGACCTCCCCAACTTACCGGCCGCCACCCCCGCCGTCGTCTTCCGCGCCGCTCACCCATCCTACGTCCTCCCCCGCGCGCGCCTCACAGGGTTCCTATACCACCACCTCCCCTACCCCGCGTCCTTCCTCTCCGCCTCCCTCCGCTTCCGCTGCACCACCGACGACTCCCCCGGCGCCTTCGCCGCGGGGTACGACCTCCCCAACCGCGCCGGCCTCCCCTGGGACATCGACCTCCCCCACCTCCTCGCCAGCCACCGCTACGTCCGCTGGCTGCCCCAGCTCGTGCGCGACGGCCTCCTCACCCCGCAGCAGCTCTCCACCGCGCGCGCACTGCTCAACACCAACGACGTGCGCAAGAACCGCCTGCTGCACCCCGCGTGGGTGCATGACATCGACCAGCCGTTCGTCGCGGACCTGAGCGTGGGCATGCGCGTCGTGGTCGCGGGCCCGCATGCGGAGATCGCGGTGAAGATATATCCCGCCGTGACGCGTTTCGGTGCGTCCTCCATATGTCCCTTTTACCTAACACAGACGCTGAATCGAACTGGGCGCAGGCTGCGTGCTGGTAAGGCTGGAGCGCCTACCGGGCGGCGAGGAGGCGCTCCACGCGCGCGTCCTTCAGACGCTGCCCGCACATAACGCGTGGTTGGACGAGCCCTTCGACCCCCGCGTCATCTCGCAGTACACCCCCGAGTATCAGCACCTCCCCCCGCTCAGGGCGGGCGACTTGCTCCCTAATCCAGCGGATCCTAGCGAGCCGTGGGTTTGGTATTATGATGTGCGTGCCGATTTTTTTGGACTGGGTTCTTCCGCTTCCTTTGTTTCCCTCCTCGCCCAATGCGCCTCCGCACTTCCTTGGCCTTGACACTCCGTCCATACCGCTTCTCTGCTGTGCAGTACCCTCTTCTCCGTTTCCCTTCTGCTTCGTTCGCTTATCATATCCTCTACCCGTTTTTGTTTGCTCTCCTCTTCCTCTTCTCTTCACCCCTCCTCGCTGGCACTTCGTGCTGGCTCCCTCCTTCCCTTGTTTTTGTTCTTGTGTCCGCACACACTTTCTCGCTTTCCGTCGTGCTCCTCCTACGTATTTGCCTGGGTACGAGTATGGGACGAGGTCTTCGTCGGCGGCGAGGTGGTGGACGACGCCGATGCGGGGCATATCGACCGCGAGGAGGAATTACCGGTTCCACAGCCACATCGTGCGTTATCGTTCCACGCGCCGTCGATTCGCGGCTCGGGTTCAATTACTAGTGCACCCAATTTTGCGGCGATGGCGCAAGCGCGCTTTTGCTGCCTTCCGTTATTGTGCATCCCTCTCCCCTTCTCTTTATCTTTCGCGCTCCTTTCTTCCTTTCTGCTTGCTGTATAGTTCGCCAGTTTCCTCCTTTCCTCCTTTCCAATATCGTTTCCACAATTCAACCACGCATCGTCCTTCCACATCCTTACTCATGATCACCACCACAGGACGCCCGCCCCCCCGCCAACTCCGCCGCCCTCCACTGCCTCCTGCATCCCCCCACACACTTCCCCCCGCCCCCGCTCTTGTCCGACGCGCGCTTCCCGCTCGAAAACGTCGTGATATCGGAGGATGCGCGCGAGGCCATGGGCGCGAAGGTCAAGGGGGGGACGATCATCAATGGGAAGGAGGTTGCTTTGAGTGAGGAGGAGGCGGAGGGGGGCCGTGGGCCGGTGCGGGGGCCGACACAACCTCACATGCAGAGTCGAGCTCAAAGCGAAAACCAACCGCGAACACGATCGACGTTCCCGGTCACGTACACGCCGCGCCCGGATGCGCCGCCGTGGCCTCTGCCGTGGGGGGCGAGTTCGAGCTCGGGCGAGAGTACGGATCCGTCAGTGACACCGCCCCGGCCCCGTTTCCCGCACAGAGGCAGACCCTCGTCGACGTTCCCGAACATCGACCCGCCGAGCGCGTTTCCGGTTACGTATGGCGGTGCGTCGCCCGTGTGGAGCGGGAGTTCGATCGAGGTACCGCCTGTTGCGCTTTGGGTGCCGCTCGCGAGTCCGGAGGTGCCGCCGTGGGTGGCGGGTTCGAGTTTGAGCGAGAGCGAGGGTGCGGCTACGACTACGGCTTCCTCGCCCTCGAGCACGCAGCCGGAGAGCTCGAGTACGGCTACGGCTGACTCGCCCTCGCCCACGCAGCCGGGGTCGGGGTCGGGGTCGGCGCCGCCATTCCCGATGACTTACACTGGGAAACCGGTTGCCCCGCCGTGGGTGAGACCTCCGACTACGGCTACGACTACGACGCCACCGAGCTCGAGCGACAAACCCCCCGTCCCGAGCACAGTACTGTATGCTTCGGCCCGAGCTCGCGAGCGCGTGCTAAAGGCCCGTGCGCGGGAGGCGGCGCTAGCAGTGGAGATGTCAAGTGATGACCAGCACCAGAGTGGGGCGCAGGACCTCGCCGCTCGTTCATCGTCAACGTCAACAACTCCTCGCACACCGAAGGTGACGCCGACGGTGATCGTGCACCCGGACGTCCGCGCGCGGCAGGCGGCGGCGCAGATGGAGCTGCGCGCGACGGGCTACGTCGTCGACCGGCAGGCGTACGACCAGAGTGTGGCGTCGTGGGGGTTCTTGGAGCAGAATCCGTACATTGGGATGGGGAGTACTCCCAATTCGAATTCAGAAGAGACGACGACGACGACGGCGGCAGCGGACGATGGTTCGAGCTCGACTTTAGCTTCCGATCCCGGCGAGGACACTTTCAGGACGGACTTTGGGTTGAAGAGGGACAAGGGCACGTCGAGGCCCACGGAAGAGCGCGCCCCCAACACGGACGAGGCGGGGTGGGGGTTCGTCAAGGGGGCGGAGCGTGGGTTGGATGAGGGGGTGGTTACGCCGTGGGAGGAGGAGCTGCGCGCGAGCAATCCGGGGCTGTGGGAGAGGGATTCGGAGCCGTCGGAGGGGGAGGAGGGGCAGGACCGATGGCGGAAGGGGAAAGGTGGGTGGAAGGGGAAAGGTGGGTGGAAAAAGGCGAAGCCGGGGCCTTGGAAGGGGGAAGTGGGGGTTGAGAAGGGTGGTGGGAAGCCGAAAGGTGGTCAGAAGCTGAAACCGGTGCGGTATTCGCAGTCTTCGAGGGCGTCGCGGAGTTGGTAACGGTGCGAAGGCGTGGGAGCTTTGGGGGTGAGTTGGTTGGATTCTTAATTTCGAACTGCGCTCGTGTTGGTTGTTTGGTTAGATTGCTTCGAACTGAACTGACGGAAAAGTAGATTAGTCGTTAATGTATGGGCATGGTCAGCATCCAAGGTGTAAAACATCGTTACCGCTGGTGGCGTCGACAGCAAGGTCCAGCGAGGCTTCGATTCTTCGTGTTGAACAAGGAAGGTTGAATTTCTTTTTCATGAGGTTGTTGAGGATGCGATGACGGTATTCCGAGAGAGATATGGTGGTGAGCTAACAAATTCGCATGCCGCGGCAGTACGGATAACTCCATGGCCCCCAGAATAAACTGTACACTGGCTGATCTTCCTGGGATTGCCGATACAGGTCTCGAAATTCTTGACCTTCGTGCTCAGACAGACTCTCACACCTTGTTGACCGTTCAACTGGTGTGGTAGAACTCGTGAGTCAACGTTTCAACCCGTGTACTTATTGATCACGGAAGACTCTGAACTCAAATCGAAGAAAGCTTCTCCCGATCCGTCGTCCACTTTTTGACTTCTTTGATCAAGTTCGTGTTAAAATTACCGTTTCAAATCCACTGATCTCTGCCTATTCGCGCGCATTCGTAGGGCGACGGAGCCCTAAGAGCCATACAGGTCTCTCGCCTGCACTAGTTTATCTGCCAGGGCTTCAATGGTTTCAAACTGCGAAGTCCCAATTCGTTCATTTCCCACCATGAAATGTGCTCCCGATCTCGATGGGACGGCGCGGGTGTCGCAGCTGACAACGGAGATGACGGCCACCCGCGGTGGTCTTAAGGTCCACCCACGGTGGAGTGGGCCTGATCTTTTAACCCATCAATCCTCCTCCTTTTCCCTCACCATGAAGGACGACATGGCCAGCAGCCATCCTGCCTCCCGGTACATGCACGCCGCCAGCTCAGCCGAGAAAGAAAGG